GGAAGTAGGATTGCCCAACCTTCCTTCCGAGGAGTGCCTGGTGGGTTTGAACCGCCAGCCTTCTGGTTAGCAGTCAAGTGCTTTAGCCACTATGCTACAGCGCCCCTAGAGGACAGAATGGGACTGCCCCATAGGGTTTCCGAGGCTGTCAATCTTTATGGGAGCAGATTGCCACGTCTTTCTCCCACAGAGTCATTGGGTGGGTTCATTGCATCCACTTTTCAGTTAGCAGCCGAGCACTTAACCATCATGGCCCAGGGCTCCTTTACACAGCCATAGGGGTTAGGACCCATGACCAGGCAGTATTTCATTCTGTTGCACACAGGGTTTCTATGAGTTGGAGTCAACTGGATGGCACCTAACAACAACAACAACGGGGGTTAGGATTTACAAGTATTTTTTTGGGGTCACAACTCCATATATAACAGAGTGGATGCTATAAAGTCGGACCCCCAGCTGGTGTGCCCATCAGTGGGTTTTCTCTCTGCTCCCGTGTGGCTCGGCAGACAGAGGCCCAGTGGACAGGGCAGTGGCGTGTGTGGGAGCAGGACAATCGTCCTTCCTTCCTCCAGCAGTGTTTTCTCTCTTGAGGACCACAATCATCTCAACATAAACACTGTGGCAAAGGCTGACCTCAGGCAGCATGTTTGTTTACAGAAGCAAAGCCCAAACCAAACCCAGCCAGCCACCAGGCTGGAAGGCATGGGGAGCTTGGAGCAGGAGACGGTGAGAGACTGCTAACCGCACCACCACCCAGGTCCAGGTGCTGGGCCCTATGCAGGACCAGGGGACAGACAGCATCTTCAAGGAGCCCACAGTCTGACGGCAGGGGCCGACAGGAAACAAGGCATCAAGCATGAGGGAGGTGATGTTACAGGGGAGATAAAGTAGAGGAAGAGATAAAGAATAGGACAATTTTGGATAAGGTCACTGGGGAAGCTGGACAGTGGAAGATGTACAGGGGTTGACCACCCAAGGAATAGGGGAAGAGGGTCCCAGGCAGAGGGCACAGCCAATGTAAAGGCCCTGGGGCAGGACTGGGCCTTGTGAGTTGGAGAACAGCAAGGAGGCCTATGTGGTTGGAGTGAAGTGTGCCAGGGGGAGAGTGGAGGAGAGGAGGCAGGGAGGAAATGGAAATCGACTAGGCAAGGGAAGGCGGGAGGGCTTCTTGGAGGAGGTGGCATTTGAGCCTAGACTTGGAGGCTGAGGAAGAGTCAGCCATGGGGAGAGCTGGTGGAAAGTCATTCCAGGCAGAGGGCATAGCCTGTGCAAAAGTCCACGGCTGGTGAGTTGGAGAAAGAGTGAGGGAACTGGAGTGGAGTGAGCCAGGAGGGGAGAGGAGGAGAGAGGGCAGGGAGGGATGAGAGGAGGCCAGGAATTTGGTCTTAAGAATTGGAATCATGGTGGGTATGACTTAAATACTCCCTAGTTCTCCGGAGAGTCTCAACGGGGTAATAGTGGCTCACTGGGGGGCACTGGAGGGTGACATATATAGTGGCTGGGGTATCCAGCCCACCCCTGGCCTCTCTGGGCCCAGGAGTCAGGGACGCCTGAGCCTACGAGGAATTCCTCCCCAGGCTGCTGGGCCCCCAGATCAGGACCCAGGAGCTCTCTGCATCAGGCCCAGGCAGCAGGGGGCATGGGGTGGGGCAGGAGGCAACCACATGATGTCACAGAAGCCGGAATCATCTAGAATCCTGGTGGTTTCCGGCCCAGAGTCATCTGCCAGCAAGGTGGCCCAGGCCAGCTCTTCCTGAGACCGGCCTTCCAAGATACAATGCACTCTGGTGGGCCGCCGAAAGCCGTTTCCGTGTAGGGCCACTGGCTCCCAGCTCCTCGGCTCACCTGCCTCTGAACGCCTGCTCCAGCTGGTCTCCATTCCCGGTCCAGCCACAATCCCCTGGGGTGGCCCTGGAGATGCCCAAGGGCCTCCCTTCTGTTGTCCCCAGCGGGACCTAGCTCGACCCAGCCACGGGGGGGGGCCATGGGGAGGTGGCGGCCAGCCCCGGATGTCATCAAGACCTCGCTGATCCTGCTGGCACTGCTGGTACCCTCACAGGCCGTGGTGCGCGCCATACTGGATGGGAACTCCAGCACCATGGACTTTGCCGATCTGCCCGCCCTCTTCGGGGTACCCCTGGGCCCTGAGGGCCTCCGGGGCTACCTGATGGAGGCCAACCCGGCCAATGCTTGCCAGCCTATCAAGGGCCCACGGCCGAGCAACAGTTCTCTGGGCGCCATTGTCCTGATCCGCCGCTATGACTGTACGTTTGACCTGAAGGTTCTGCACGCCCAGCGGGCCGGCTTCGAGGCAGCCATCGTGCACAACGTCCGCTCAGACGACCTGGTGCGCATGGCCCACGTGTACGAGGACCTACGGCACCAGATCGCCATCCCCTCTGTGTTCGTGGGCGAAGCCGCCTCGCAGGACCTGCGGGTCATTGTGCGCTGTGACAAATCCGCCCACGTGCTTCTGCTGCCCGACTACCCACAGTGCTCTGACCTGGACTGCCACCCCGTGCTGACCGTGTCCTGGGTACTGGGCTGCGCCCTGGCCCTGCTCACCTCCACCTTTCTCATCCTGTGTCGTGTGTGGCACTGGCTGAGGGCCTGGTGGCACCATGAGCCCACGGTCAAGATGCCGGCCCGGCAGAAGGCCCAGGTGCGCACCTTCAGCCGGCACGATGACCTGTGTGCCATCTGTCTGGATGAGTACGAGGAAGGGGACCAGCTGAAGATCCTGCCGTGCTCTCACACCTACCACTGCAAGTGCATCGACCCCTGGTTCGCCCAGGCCACCCGGCGCACCTGCCCTGTGTGCAAGCACTCCGTGGCCGGCACGGAGGACGCCTCCGACTGCACCATGGAGAGCTTTGCTGACGAGGACTGCACCCTGCCCGGCCACCAGCCACCCATCTGGGCCGTCCAGGCCCAGCTGCGCTCCCGGAGGCTGCAGCTGCTGGCCCGAGCCAGTCCACACTGTCACTGTGGCACCATGTCAGCAGGGGTGTCCTCAGAGAGGGCCTCACCATCCCACTGAGGCCCTTGGCTCCTGCCCGGGGAAGGCCCTGGCTGGGTGCGTGTGCACACATGGAATGTTTCCAGTCTGGAGGGAATAAAGTGTATTGGAAAGAGGATTCTGGCCCTTGCTGCTGTCTGGCCGTCGGGCATTTAGCGAGGGGAGCCCGTCTGGCACCAGGGAAGCCAGCAGAGCAAAAGGCAGGTGCTGAGTTTCTGTAGGTCAGTGAGGAGATGAAGGGTGTGGGGTATTTTCAGGGCCACTGTGCCCATTGTAAGGACTCTGGGTGGCACAAACGGTTCATGCTCAACTGGTTGCTAACCAGAAAAGGAGCCCTGCTGGCGCAGTGGTTAAGTGCTCAGCTGCTAACTCAAAGTTTGATCCTACCCAGCAGCTTCATGGGAGAAAAGACGTGCTCGCATAGATTGTCGTTTGGTGCCGTCAAGTCATCTCCGACTCATAGCAACCCTGTGTACTACAGAATGAAACACCACCCAGTGCTGTGCCAGCCTCACAATCCTTACTATGCCTGAGCCCATCATTGCAGCCACTCTGTCAATCCATCTCGTTGAGGGCCTTCCCCTTCTTGGCTGACCCTCCGCTTTACCCAGCATGACATCCTTCTCCAGGGAACGGTCCTTTCTGACAACATGAACAAAGTAGGTGAGACGAAGTCTGGCCATTCTCACTTCCAAGGAGAATTCTGGTTGTACTTCTTCCAGGACAGATGTGTTACTTCTTTTAGCAGTCCATGGGACTTTCAGCATTCTTCGCCAGCACCACAACTCAAAAGCATCAACTCTTCTTCAGTCTTCCTTGTTCATTGTCCAGCTCTCACATGCATATGAGGCTACTGAAAACACCATGGCTTGGGTCAGGCGCACCTTAGTCCTCAAGGAGACATCCTTGCTCCTCAGCACTTTAAAGACGGCTTTGGCAGCTGTATTCTGGTTTCTCTTCAGATCATGAAGTTTAGAGCCTAGGAAACCCTATGGGGAAGCTCCACAGGGTCACTGTGAGTCGGAATCAACTCAATTGCATACAACAACTAACTGAAAGGCTGGTGTTTGAACCCACCCAGCAGGGCCACAAAAGAAAGGCCTGGAGATCTTGTTCCATGAAAATGCAAAACCCCTCCGGGCAGTTCCACTCTGACCCACACAGGGTCTCCATGAGTCAGACTCAGGTCGACGGCAGTGGATGTGGGTTTTTTTTTTTTCAGTAGTCATTGTGCCACTTTGAGCACTATTGACACTGGCGTTCAGAGCTGGATAATTCTGATGGCCAGGCTGGGAATGGAGGTGAGCCTGAATGGGGTGCTCAGAGCAAGACAAGCAGAGTAGCTGGAACCGGGGTGGCCCTAAGTGGAGTGGGGAGCGGAGGGGTGGCTTTGAGACAAGATCCTATGTCTCCGTTCCAGTTCTTGGTTTCAGCTCCAGTCAGGTGGTTAAACTTTGTTTTTCATGTAACCTTTTAAATATATCTATATATATAAATGGTTTAGGAACTGAGGCAAATATTTTTAGGAAGGGAGGCAAACAGCTTTGGTGTGAGATTTTTATGTTTATCTGGCCAGGAATTAGGCTGTTTGCGGTTTGCTGCCGCTGCAGGTAGCAGAGGTTAAAATTTCCTCGGGTGTCCTTGTTTTTGTCTCCCCTGTTGTCTTTGGGTTTCCCTAGAGACTCCTTCTTAAATAGAATCTGAGCCTTGTTCTTTTCAGCTGTAATCTCTTGTTATTACATCAGAGCCCCAATTATGTGACGGTGAGATGTGGAGCAAGGGAAGGCGTTCTGTGAGCCGCTGATTAAGTCTGTCTCTTACTTAGTTTGTCTCGTGGGGAGTGTGGCTGAACAGGAAACTGAACAGAGACCAGCCTCAGTGATGGGAGTGGGCTCACCTATGATAGTAGCCACCCGCACTATTACTGAGCACGCTTTCCTGTGCTAACTCTCTGCACCCTGAGCCAGTTTCCTACTGTACCCTCATTTTCCAGAGGGCGAAACTGACTTTGTGAGAGGGGGTGTGGCTTGCCCAGACCCTCACAGCTGGAAGGTGACTGAGCCAGAATTCAAGGCCAGGGGCCTGTCCCTTAAAAAAAAAAAAAAAGTTGCTGTTCACGATTCCCTACTGAGTACCCAGAGTCCCTGGGTGGTACAAACAGTTAATGTGCTCAGCTGTTAACTGAAAAGTTAGAGGTCTGAGGCCATCTAGAAGTGCCTGAGAAGAAAGGCCTGGCGATCTACTTCTCAAAACTCAGCCTTTGAAATGGAGCTCAGTTCTACTTTGGGACACATTGGGTCTCCATGAGTTGAAGTCAACTCAGGGTCCTGAGCTGGGCAAGGTCAGGGTCCCCAGGTATTGGTGAATGTGGAAACCACCTGCCTTTTCCTCATCAGGGCTCTCATCTGTGAAGATTGGGATGCCCAGGGCTGGTTCTTGTCCCTCTCCTATTGGATCTGATCTCCTCACACCCCCATGAGATAAGCATATGAATGCCCCTTTTCAGATGAAGAACAGAGAGGTTAAGCATATTGCCTGAAGCCACAAAGCCTGCTGGACTGAGTCAGGATTTGAACCCAGGTCCTCAGAGTGCTGTGGGCTTTATCTTTTCAATTGTATGCTTGTTGATCCATCCTTAATGGGCCATGATGAGAGACTCCCCACCCTCGGTGTTTACTAGCTAGTGAGTTGTGCTTACTTGCATTCCCACCAGTAGTGGATGAAAGCTCCAGTTGCCCTGCATCTTATCAACACTTGGCATCCTCGGTTTTTAAAATTTTAGCCATCTAGTTGTCAAGGATGTCACTTTGAGGACTAAGTTATGCCTGACCCAAGCCATGCATGGTATGTTCAATTACCTCATATGCATGCAAAAGCTGGACAATGAATAAGGAAGACTGCAGAAGAATTGATGCCTTAGCGTTATGGTGTTGGGAAGAATATTGAATGTACCATGGACTGCCAGAGAACAAACCAATCTGTCTTGGAAGAAATGCAACCAGAAATTGCTTTAGAAATGTGGATGGTGAGACTTTATCTCACATACTTTAGACATATTATCAGGAGGGGCTGGTGCCTTGAGAAGGATATCCAGTTTGGTAAAGTACAGGGTCATTGAAAAAGAGGAAGACCCTCAATGAGTGTAGTGACACAGGGGCTACAACAATGGGATCAAACACAGTAACACTTGTGAGGATGGTGCAGGACTCGGCACCCGGAGATGCCTGAGAAGAAAGGCCTGTCATCTACTTCTAAAGGATGTACTCACAAGAAGATGTTGTCCTTAGGGTTGCTATGAGTCACCACTGACTCAGTGGCACCTGACAGTAACAACAAGAGTTCCCATGAGTCAGAGTCAAGGAAATACAACAGGGTGATGGGATAGCAGGTCACAGGAGGGCATGTGTGTGCGGCAAACTTAAGTGTGATCAGGGAAGGCTTCCCTGAGGAGGGAACATGTAGCAGATGGCTGAAGGGTGATGTGGTGGTTAAGTTGGTGTGTCAACTTGGCTGGGCCCGGTTGAGTGGCTGGGCAGCTGGATGTAGTATTCCCCATGATGAGACTGGTAATCAACTCCATGGTGGAATCTACTGTGAGCAGCTGAGTAGCTGCCTTAG